TATGTTTTATCCACAAATGACTAATGACGCAGGTATATTAAAGAAATAAATTTTTTTTTTTTTTCATGAAAAGTTGAACTTTGAGTAACTCAAGATCACGGGCAAATGTGCAATCGGTTTAAAAATAAATTTTTATTTCTATAGTAAATATAAGCAGTTAAAGAAATTAATGAGAAATCATATTGGATGTCGTTTGTGTTTTTACTAAATCATATTTAATGCTGAATGTGGTTATTGATAGCTTGGATGATAAAATAAAAAAAATTGTTCTCAGACAGTTCTATTTCCAAAAGTATAATTTACACTGGAAAAATTATTTGAATGTCTATAAGAGTATCACTTTTCAAAATGCATGTGAAATGCAACACGACCGCACACGAATAAATTCGATGACTTTGTACATACTCGTATTGTTGTGCTTTGATGATATATTTAGGTCAATGTGTTCCTTGCTCGAAGGAATTATTGGTAGAAACACATGAAAAAATCTCCCCACAACACGCGTGTTACAGACGTTTCTCATAAATTAATATTCCAGCCAAACCACACACACATACATAACTTTTTTGGCCCAGGTATATGTCCCATCGCTGTTTAATACACGGACAAAAACCTTATAGTATCTATCTCACGGAAAAAGTTAAACCAAAAAGTTTTAGCTCCCCTTCGTGATAAATCATTTGTTTTTTTTTTATTATTACCTACTATTATTTCTCGTCGCATATACCGTTTTTTCCATACATTAGTACTATCCAACAATATAATTATAACATATATTATATAAATTATATTATACAGGGCGATTCACTAAGCATGCAAAGTCCATTTTTCCACCAATAATGAATTTATTTGAATTCTGATTTTTGAAATTTGTAGGTATATACACAGTTAATTTTTTTTATGAAATAACAGACACCAACTAACGTTTTACTATTGCGTTCACATAATTTAAGTCGTAACAAAAAGCATTTTTGAAAAAATATTTTTTCTATTTTTGTCGTTAGGGATAGGTTTTAATTTTTTTTCTTTTTAGCTTAACTGTATATTAAATGTCTTGTTCCAAGGCAGAATATTTTATCCGGAGTACTTCAATGTATGAAAATTAAATTTTGGTTGACTAGTATTATAAATGATTTAAAAGAATTTTAAATTTAGGTAAGCGGAATAGAGTGGCTACTATATTCGGGAAAAATGTCGGTCCACTACACCGCACAAACTAATTTTAAACATAATACATATACATAATTCATTAACAAATTGTACATTTTGTATATTAAAAATACTCCGAATAATAATCTGATTCTGAATATGAAATCAATAATGTGTGTTGTCATTTAAAAAAACTAGAAAACTGAAATACAAATATATATTTTTTTTAATATCGTTTTACAAGTGTACATAACGACTTAAACTATGAATAGTACCTAATTTAAAGAACATAAATAGTTTTTGGAACAATGAGTGTTTAATTAAAAATCACATGAAGGTATGTATAGGGTGTAGACCTTAAGCACCTTTTTTCAAAAACTTCGTTTAAAAGAGATTTATAATTTAATTAGCGTGGTGATATACTCTTTTCTTCAATTATTTATAAGTATCAGTTTTTAATGATAAATTGCTTAAGTGAATTATTTTAAATGTTGACATAATTAATTTGAATCAAGCAGTTGATTTAGAGTTATTTGACTTTAATTTCTACGAATAATTATTTATTCTCGATGAAAATAGTTTTAGAAGAAATTGGGGCTATTTATTTATTTATTTTAAATTATATTAATTTATTGAAATGTTATAATTTTTAAAAATTGTATAACTATTATAATAAATTACATATTTTATTATACACCGTGGCTAATATTTCAGAAATTATACGTTTAGATATTGTATCGACATTTCAAAAAAAAAAATCAGCAGGTTAACAACTATTTAGAGTAGAAAAGGAAGGTTTCAAAGCACTCTTTAAATGGTAAATAAAAATTATTCAAAAATATGGTATATGGAAATTCCATAAATCAGAGTTTAAATAAAATAATATTTTAGGGTTAGGTTAGGTTAGTTATATTATGTATTATTTGAGGATGAAGAGATGTTTCCTTTGCGAACCATAATTTATTTAATATGATGTTAATTAAAGCAATTTATTTGACAAGAAAATAATATTAAAACTTTTGCTATAGAAGTACTTATTATCTTTTACATACCAATATATTGTTTATAGATTGACATTTTTTTTTTAAAACCCACAGAATCATCCATTAATGTTTTAATAGTTTTTCTTTAGATATGTGTAGTAAAATATTGTAAATATTGACTGGACACGCATTATATAATGTCGCAGAGAAAAAATTCAGTTCGTCATTTACAAACGGGTAAAAGTAATTACTATTTCCACGAATAGGGAGAGTTGATAGAAAATTCATGTAATATGATGGTAGCTATAATCAAAACTAGAACCATTAGTTAAAATGTATAAAAGATGTAGTATTATCAAATGAACATTTGACGATTCCAAACGCATTTTTAACTCTTTCTTCGTTTCTAGTATGGAATACAAAACTTAATTTTTAATCTTTTTTGTTAATTCACAAGTTAAATTTTCACCATTGCAGGAGATTAGCAAGCGTAGCAGTTAATTAGTGAACATTTTCCGTTGTTGAATAAGCAGAGAGTGTTTCTAGGGAAATTTAATTTTCATTATGAGACTAGAGAAACACTATCGATATAATGTTATCGGCACACCCAGTAAATAGTGTGTTCTTCGATGCATATTTCATCGAGAAATAATTATAGTGTAATATAATATTAAAGTCGTGCACACGCCTCGAAAGCAAATTTTTAAAATTGTACCACCGTCTAGAACTCAATTAAAAAAAAAAAAAATAATAAATAAGGAAATAAAAGGATATAAAGGAAAAAAAACAGAAAAAATTAAGCTTCCTGTTTATCTATACATAAGATGCTTTTGTGCGTATAATAACGTCACGTAGCGAATAGTAATGGGCATAAAAATAAAGGAGAAAAAAACGTACTGTTGTCTAAAAATTGGAACGCCGTGCACAAGACATTAGGCATAATCTTGTTGTTGGTTCGTTATAATAATATATTAACTTTATCATTCTCCAGATGTTTTTCGTTTGCTACACCTTAAAGACAATTTTTCGTATAATATCAAGAACTTAATACCACCGAGGTAAAGAAAAAGTGTTTTTCTTCAAAAACGCGCAGTATTACAATTTACAATATTATAATAGTGTATAACACCATTAGAACGGATTCAGAAGACGGCGTTGTGTGTATGCAATTTAATTACATAATTTAGGTACAATACTTGATGTTATTTTTAGAACGGTGGATGTGTATTGTAAGTACTATATCAGTATATAGTTTTTAATCATAATATTATTTCATTATAATGAAGCAACATCGAAGAAAATAACGAAACTGCACATTTTACCGCGATGATATTATAATGTAATATTTTGCTTTTTGTTTTCTTTAACAATGCGATTTTTTTTGTTTTGTCAGAATATTTATGTTTAGGTTTTTTGTATCATTTCCCACGTGGTATTGAACAGTTTTTTTTTTTAATAATATTATTTGACAAAAAAAAACCCTTTGCCTATAACCATTTTTTTCGCCTCACCCGGACGCGTCCTCAGAAATGCATGGTGACACTATTTAAATTAAATTTTAAAACTGAGTATGTCTTCTTTGAAGGTTCTGAATCAAACGATATTAAACTTTCAAGAGTTTTGACGCTTGGCTGCTTTAGGAAATTCTTCACTCAGCAGTAATTCGTGATTATTTTTAAGTTTTCATTACGTGCACGGTAGTTTATATTGAATTTTAAGTAGTTTCTAAAATTTCTTTCTCACATTTAGGAATACAAATTTAAAAATATGTCCATTTTAGTAGGAAATTCGACTGTAATATCTCGAAACACAATATTTGTGTACCTAACCTACTAAATGAGTTTTATTGTTTTTTTTTCATTTATTATTTTTATTGAATATTGGCTTGAAATATAAATAGATTTTATGTTATGTCTATCTAATATAATTTATGATTTGTTAAGCTAATACATTTTTTAAATTAGTTGATTAAGTACTTAAAATTGTAGCCTTAACTTTAACTTTAACTTCAACATCATACTATCTTAAGTAAATTTTTATCACATGATTTTTTTAAGCCAAAATAAAAGTTATTAATTTATTTTGTTAATTGCTACAACATACAATATAATAATAAAATATAACATAATGTATATTGATAGAGCAATTCGAATAAATATCTAATACCCGATAGCAATTTTATTAACTTCAGTGTAATTGTTGACAATCTTATAATATTTATGTGTTGAATTTGGTTTTTTTTTAATCTCAACTTAGTAGTGAGACACAAACCCTTTAAGCGGTAGGTACATCAACCAATAAATACCAAAAACGACTGTGTGGTCAGAATTTTAATTTCATAGAAATTTAACTGCATTTTCGTTGACACGTGAAGTAAGTAATCCTTATTTTCACTATGCGGTTGTTTCTGTTGGGTTGTTTTAAGAAAGCTTTCCCGAAAAACAATGGAGAGGTCAGTTGCGAGTTGTAAAGTGACAATGTTAGAACAACACAAGAATAAAGACACATCTTTCAACCGTATATTATTTCATTATTATAGTCTCTATATTTACTCATAAGTATGTACGATGAACACGTAGATACTTACATTTTATATAAAATGATTATATTATTTACATTTATGTAAAATATAAAAATATATAATTACGTTATTTTGTTCCAGGAATTTATGAATATTATTAAAGTTACTCTCTCTGATACATAGTAGTACAGTATTTGCAAAGGATGGTTTTTGGGAAATTATTTTCATTACTTTTTAAACATAAATGGTATCAAAGACCGATGATAATAATAATAATAATACTAAGAGTAATAATAATTCGGGTTAAAGGATTTAACGATCCCAAAAAAGTATAAAAAATTACTTACCTTCGAAATAATATTTTTGCTTTGTCACGGTTTCTTTTTCAATAATCTTCTTTTCTCCGTCACATCATGTAGTGTTGAGTCCTTTTCAAAAATCGGCCCCTGTCGAAAAACAATATTTTGTATAATTCTCAACAAACTAGAAATAACTACATACATTTATTGTATACATATATTATGTGTATATATATTATATATTACAAAGTTATCGATATATGTATATTGTGTATTTATATTATGGGTTGTACATTGAGAATGCGAAGAACAATATAATCTATCCTGTAAAAGGTCCTTCAATTTTGTACAATCATTAATCTCGATTAACGTTGATTCCCAAACGTTTTCCCACCCGAACAGTTTTCGGGTATTTTAACAAAATACCCGTCTCTTTACTGAAAGCAGCACCTCCCTTGTCGTTGTCTCATCCTTGCCTTTTGCGATGCCACCAAAAGGTCGGCTCATTAATTCAAAGTTGTCTTACGCCCGTCCAAACGTTAAACAAGCGACCAATTTACGGTGTGGCCAAATCGTGAAAATTTAAAATCGGTTTATTGTTATCAAAACTACCTAAGGTCTTCTCGGCTTTAGAACAAACGAAGAAGGCAAAGCGAAATATTGTCTAATTAACACATGAAAATCAAAACCATCAAAAGTGTTCTATGGCAACTACATTTTATGTCAAATGTACACAGAGAAGATACAGCGATAAAATATTATTTTTATATTATACACCACATTATATGGACGCATATTTTAATAAATTATTATGCAGCTTTTGAACAGTACAACTCTGAATAAGATTGTGTTTTCTATTACTATAATTTTTAATTGCATTTTTTTACTAAGTGATTAAGCCTGATTAAGTTTGGATTGAAATAAATATTTGTGTCCATCATAATAATAAATATAAATACTTAAATTAAGATGAAGATAAAAAAACAAATAAATTAATGTTATTTAAAAAAGTTTTTATGATTATTTCACACAATAAATGATATTGAATGGAACACTCGTCATTATTTACATAGGTGCTAATTAGGCTAGAGGACGTTAACATTGTTAATTTAAATACAATGTTTTATTAGAAATATAGTCATTTTTAAACTGAAAAGTTGTATTTTTTTAGGAATAAAATGTCAGTTATGACTGGTATTAAATTGTATTTAAAAAATATTAACTTTGATAAAAAATATCAGTACAATTTAATCATAACACCACCAGTACCTACCAGTGTTTATTAAATAGCAGAATAATGTTCCAAGATAAATTGGCACATGACCAAAATGCTTTGATTACGGTACAGGATGTCTGGTTTTTCACGCAGTGATCTCTAAAGTTGTTAATCGGCAGTTTATTATATTAATTACGTACCTACGTTGGAGTTTTTACGTTTTTATTTTCTTTAACATTTGCTGAGAATATCATATTATTATAATAAATAAACATAATACAAATAAATGCATTATAATAATACACTGGCCACAGTATTTCACTGTTTTCCGACCGAGTGCAACACCGAAAGAAACGGGGAAATTCGCTCTACTGTTTATAATAGGTGTCGAGTGTTCCTTGTAATTTAATAGGTCAATTTAACGGATGTGTTAAATTTGAATTCAATGATTAATCGTTTTACACGAAAAACGATTTTGAACGAACACGGTCTGCTGAAATGTGACACCAATCTGTCACCTTATATTTCTAAGGATATTTAGGATTCTTAGGCTGATAGGTATTTGTCGTTATTAATATTTATTTTTATTTTTATCAATAATTTGGGAGGTTGAAATCATTTTTTTCAAAAGCATCGCCTAAATATTATTATTGATCATTATAATGTTCGTATGCCGCACATTACCTGTGAATTTAACCCCGTATAACAGCTTGAAAATGTTTTTGGTATAAAACATAGTCTAAAATCAGTCTAAATATTTTGAACATTTTATTGTGTACATGTAGATAAAGAAAATTTAAATACAATTGGATTGTTTGAAATTTTTGCATCGAATATATTTTGATTAAAATTAAACAACAAGATTAGTATCGAATCAGGCATACATCATGTGTTCAGAATAATAGAACTTAAAACTTAAACATTGTAATGTTTATGTAATTTTCTTGTCTTTCACTTATTGACTCACGATAATAAATTATATATTATATGATGTATACCGATCGTAATTATTTCATATTGGCTTTTATACATTTTGGGAAACAAATATTTACTATACTTTTTATAATAAGCACATAAAATAATAACAGCTTTCTTAAAATGTGTTCCTTCAAAAAATATTCATTAGTATATTGATCACGGCTTACTTTTCATTAAAAACAAAATATACCATACAAAATGCAAAAAGTAAAAACAGTAATTATTAATATTTTTTAATAAAAATAATAACATAAATTTAAAACAGGATGCAAGTTGATATTCTTAATATATTTTAATTTTATACAGTTTAAGTATAAAATTCTACACCTATTATTTTCGATTTCATTGCACATTTTAAAGTGATTATTGCTGTGTTATAAATTCTTAAAGTAGGGGTCATATAATATTATTTTTCAAAAATCATGAAATATCGAAACTTTTTTCTTTTAATTCGTGACTTAGTATGTATTATTATATTTAGTTTTTAAATTTTGCCTCACTTGTTTTCTATAACATCACTGTGTTGCGTGTGCAGCTACAAAAAATAAACCTACCTGTGTCATAACAGTGGCAAAAAAAAAAGGTTAGTGGTCAATTCGATAAAAATTTTCATTAATTTTTGTTAAACTTCAATACACTTTTATTAGGCATACATATAATAATATGTAAATATGTATTTGTAATATTATATAGGTACCTACCCTTAATTTATCCAAAAATGCCGTGACCATTTGATTATAATTGGTACCCAACCGGGTCAATGGTACCCAGTTTTGGGAGTTGTACTCATAATTATACGTGTATTGACTTTCATGATGTAATCTAAAATTACATTGCTTGACCTAAACGATTAATTATTCAGTTTGTGATACAGATGCTATTAAAAATATTACGCAATTTATAAGTCAGCAGTAAAACACAATGACAAATCGAATTAATTAATAAAAATACCTTTATAACCCGGTTGGTCTGTTCTACAGGATCCGACTAATCCCCCTCCCTTCTAAAAAAAAAAATAATGTTTAGTAATGTAATGATAATGTATCATGAATAGTTATATTATAATGACATAGTTTAATCAAGATAAACTTGTTGCTCACACATTTTGGTACATTTATTTATATTATATATATATATATAGTATATACATATGATATAATCGTAAAAAATGTAACTTAATTTTATAAGCTATTCATATAGTTAATTAAATCATATTTATAAACAATAACGTACGGTTTTTAACATTTTAAACATGCCTATTCAGTGAATTGTGTATAATATGCACTACATTCTGATGATTCTGTATGTATTATCTATAACATATTATATGTTTTGAGTTATGAAAAATAAAACAATATGAATAAAGTACTTAAGTATGCATCAATATATGTATTTTTAACATTTATTTATTGAATAGTAATATTTTTTAATCTTATTCTGTGCATAAGCGTTTGGTAATAAAATGTATTTAAAACAACGATAGCCTTGCCTAGTCTTAAATAATACAATTAATACTTTGTAGGTATTGCATTTTTGGCATCTCTTTTATTTTTTACCCGAGCATTACAAATCAAAGTGGTGTGAAAAAAAAAAATTAAGCAAATGTTCATTGTAAAACTGTATTGTATTAGTTAAATTAAATTAGTTTCAAAGAAAATCTATTCTGGTTCATTGATTCAGTTACTGATTCCCCAGAAACAAATACAGTACACAGCTATTCCTTAAAATATTATTATTATAATTGTTGTTTTTGTACTTTTATTTTTAAAAATATTAATCAATAAGACACAAAAATTAAGCGAGGTGGGTATAGTGCAGAATTAAAAAAAAATATATAATACACAAGGGGAATCATTGACAAAATTCCCAAATAAGAAAATCAGTTATAATTATATTACACTACAATGATATGGAGATGATTTTATTTAAATTTATTGTACACAACTAGTAGTTAAATGATATTATTACCTATATCTATAGCACCTATCTAGCACCATCGATTACAATTAATGCTAGCACCTACATCGATGATTCAGAATATTTAAATCAATACGAATCGTAACTAAATACTTGATATTAAAATAATAATTTGTTACTCTAACGTTTCTGTTTTCAGCGTTGAACATATTATTATTTTGATTATTATACTTCATAGTAGTATACTAGTATTATAGCTCAGCTGTATTGTCGATATAATATTATACAACAATGAACTGTGAATAATTTGGATGATTTCCATATTTTTCACCGTAAATCATGTTTTGTCTCTCCAATTCATGTATGTGTGCATTCACATTCAATAATTATTATTCTATAGAGAGTGAAAAAAAACCTTAAAAGGCTCAAATCAAAACAACTTACTCTTTTGCTAATTTGAGATTTGAAATAAAATGAAAAAATAAAAATAGAAGGAAACACATGCTTTGAACGACAGTGTAAAGCTTTTATTTGTTCACCCAACGTTTCTGGAAACTAATTAAGTTTCCCTATCGAGCCAAAAATCTCAAACTTTGTACATTTCAAAACCAATCGTACAATAAAATGTTATACGCTTGACGATGATAATTTTCATTGCAATTAAAAGCAACAATAAAATTGTTGGTTAAAAATTTGAGAAAAAATATGCTCGTCTAATTTTGAAAATAAAAGTGAAAATATAATATAAACTAAGAATATGACAATAGAATAAAATATGTAACTCTACAATTTATGTCACTGTAAATATCTTTATATTTTAATGTTCAAAGTCCAACAATAATAATTTTGTGTTTACAAATTATATAAATAAATGTCTGCAAATTACTTCAGATGCTATAGTGGCCGAGGGTAACCGTAATAATAAAAAAAATTGTATAGAAACAACTTTTGAATTTGTAGGACCATTAATTACACTGAATTTGTCAATTTGTATGGTAATTTTTTTTAAAAATGAACATACTTTTGTTATAC